ATAGGGCAAATTACAGGGAAGAATTCTTGTGATGTCATGTTTGTTTGGTTATGTAATTGTTTAAGATGTGTCTGGTGCATTCTTAAACAGAAGAAAGAAAGAGACATCACAAAAGAATGAAATGGGGACAGGAGAAGAGAAGGGCAAGGGAATGTTGTTGCCAGGTCACCAGCCTTCCACCCCCACTGCCTTGGTGAGGGTGGGGAGCCGTGTGGGAGCTGGGGATGTGAATCAGGTCTTTTTACAGTCACCTGAAAGGCTTTACCTTGTCTTGATAAAAAATGGGAGGGGGCAGTGTGCTGAGTGAGATCTTTTGTACAAACAGCTGAAAGACTTACCGTGTCATTATCTCATCAGCTCATTACCTGACCTCCATGGTAATATAGACTCCTAAATTTAGTGTAGCATGGGAGATGACTACCTTGCTCTGCTATAAAATAAAGGAGGAGGCTCTATTTTGCACTTAAATGTCTTATTGTTTTTAGGATCTATTAAATAGGTAATTCTCATAATACTTGCGAAAGCATGTATGAACCAATATCCCTGTTTGTAGGGGGAATCTGACTGAGCAATGATCTGGAGTACAAGAAATTCAGCTTATACATTTACAGGTAAAATTCTAACTAAATTCAGGATTCATGAGGATTTCTGTGGTATCTAGATTTTCCTCATCTTCAAAACTGACTAATAATAATGATGATAAAAATAACATCAACAGCTAGCACTTCTTTAGGGCTTACTGTGTACCAGACAGTACTCGAATCTCTTCATATGTATTGTCATTCAGTCCTCACAACTCTGTGGGGATATTTTATCCCCTGATCCTTCTGTTTTAAGTGTGAGAGAAATATCACTAATAATGGGTATCTTATTATCATCTCTCCCTTCTGCTAGCACTCTCTTACCAGCCCCCAACTCTGCCCTGATTACAGGCTCCCCATAAGCTTATAATCAGTTTTGTTCACTTTTGTATCCTCATTGCCTAGAACAGTGCCTGGCATGTGGTTGGTACTCAGTATTTGTTGAATGAATGAGTTTTTATAGATGAGGAAACTAAGTTTTCCAAGATTACACAGTAATAGGACAATATGTGGTATGGTAATGATTTATAAAGTCTTTGGTGAACCTAGGGTTCTTTTAACTTTTAGACAAACTGTATCATCAAGAGTGTGAAATGACTGTTAGGCACTTGAATTTGGTGGTGCTTTCCCTTCTAATTCCTACTCCATTTCATGAGCCTCTGGGCCCTTGAGATACCTTACAAATTGAACTTCTTTTTTTCCCTCCCATTCTTCACCCATGGAACACAAAAAATAGTTCAATGGCATCATCAACTCAGTGTACATGAGTTTGAGCAAACTCCCAAGAGATAGTGAAGGACAGGGAATCCTGGTATACTGCTGTACATGAGATTGCAGAGTCGGATGCGAATTAGTAACTAAACAACAACATTTGTATATCCAGGATGCTGTTCACTACCATTAATCAATTTAAAAGTTTTGAGTTTTGGTTATTTTTATGAGAATAAAAATACAATAGGGCAAATTACAGGGAAGAATTCTTGTGATGTCATGTTTGTTTGGTTATGTAATTGTTTAAGATGTGTCTGGTGCATTCTTAAACAGAAGAAAGAAAGAGACATCACAAAAGAATGAAATGGGGACAGGAGAAGAGAAGGGCAAGGGAATGTTGTTGCCAGGTCACCAGCCTTCCACCCCCACTGCCTTGGTGAGGGTGGGGAGCCGTGTGGGAGCTGGGGATGTGAATCAGGTCTTTTTACAGTCACCTGAAAGGCTTTACTTTGTCTTGATAAAAAATGGGAGGGGGCAGTGTGCTGAGTGAGATCTTTTGTACAAACAGCTGAAAGACTTACTGTGTCATTATCTCATCAGCTCATTACCTGACCTCCATGGTAATATAGACTCCTAAATTTAGTGTAGCATGGGAGATGACTACCTTGCTCTGCTATAAAATAAAGGAGGAGGCTCTATTTTGCACTTAAATGTCTTATTGTTTTTAGGATCTATTAAATAGGTAATTCTCATAATACTTGCGAAAGCATGTATGAACCAATATCCCTGTTTGTAGGGGGAATCTGACTGAGCAATGATCTGGAGTACAAGAAATTCAGCTTATACATTTACAGGTAAAATTCTAACTAAATTCAGGATTCATGAGGATTTCTGTGGTATCTAGATTTTCCTCATCTTCAAAACTGACTAATAATAATGATGATAAAAATAACATCAACAGCTAGCACTTCTTTAGGGCTTACTGTGTACCAGACAGTACTCGAATCTCTTCATATGTATTGTCATTCAGTCCTCACAACTCTGTGGGGATATTTTATCCCCTGATCCTTCTGTTTTAAGTGTGAGAGAAATATCACTAATAATGGGTATCTTATTATCATCTCTCCCTTCTGCTAGCACTCTCTTACCAGCCCCCAACTCTGCCCTGATTACAGGCTCCCCATAAGCTTATAATCAGTTTTGTTCACTTTTGTATCCTCATTGCCTAGAACAGTGCCTGGCATGTGGTTGGTACTCAGTATTTGTTGAATGAATGAGTTTTTATAGATGAGGAAACTAAGTTTTCCAAGATTACACAGTAATAGGACAATATGTGGTATGGTAATGATTTATAAAGTCTTTGGTGAACCTAGGGTTCTTTTAACTTTTAGACAAACTGTATCATCAAGAGTGTGAAATGACTGTTAGGCACTTGAATTTGGTGGTGCTTTCCCTTCTAATTCCTACTCCATTTCATGAGCCTCTGGGCCCTTGAGATACCTTACAAATTGAACTTCTTTTTTTCCCTCCCATTCTTCACCCATGGAACACAAAAAATAGTTCATCTTTTATTATAAGATTTTAATAATATTGTGCACGTGAGCTAAGTCGTTTCAGTCATGTCCAGCTCTTTGCGAACCTTTGTACTAGCCTACCAGAGTCCTCTGTCCATGGCATTCTCCAGGCAAGAGTACTGGAATGTGTTGCCATGCCCTTCTCCAGGGGATCTTCCCAACCCAAGGATTGAACCTGCATCTCATGTCTCCTGCATTGCCAGGCAGGTTCTTTATCACTAGTGCCATCCAGGAAGTCCAAGATTTTAATAATAAGGAAGACTCAAATTTGCATTTTATAAATTTTCTTTAGGCTATAGAAGCAGCGATAGTGATATTATAAACTCAAAGGATTCAGTGTCTCCTGTCCTTTAGAAAAGGGGTAGGTAACAGTGAGGTAGGTCATACAGTTGAGACTTGCTTTAAGATTGCATGCACACCCACTCACATCTGCCTTTAAGCTTGATGATTTGTGTGGTCTTTTGTAGGAAATTTAATTTTGGAAATGGTTAGTTAGGCAGAACAGGAATGGCTAATATCTGATGATTGATGGGGGCTCAGGGGAAGAGAAGAAAGGAAAAAAAAGTCTTTGAAGAGTCTCACATAAGCCCTACTGACTAGAAGAAGGGTGGTCCCAGTCAGAGAATGTGGGTAATCGGAAGATGAAAAGTTAGGTTGCTTAACATTTAATCTTTTTTTCTTTCTTCTTATTTATAAAATCATATCCATATCTCTGTCATTATTTCACTTTATAAACTCCATTGTTATTCCCTATTGGAAAAGAAAAAAGCATTCTTAATTGTGGCTCAGATGGTAAAGAATCCTCCTGCAATGTGGGACACCTGGATTCAATCTCTGGGTTGGGAAGATCCCCTGGAGAAGGAAAAGGCTACCCACTCCAGTATTCTGGCCTGGAGAATACCATGGACTTTATGGTCCATGGGGTCACAAAGACTCAGACACAACTGAGTAACTTTCACTTTAAACATTAATTCTGGGTCACAGTAAGCTTTCTTTCCTTCCCATCATACTAATATTATGCACATGTAAGTCTTGGGTTTTTTGTTGTTATATCACCTAAGGTTCTGGAACAGAATGATTACAAATCATTTCCCTTCTTCCCCTGGTGTACCCTTTCTTTTACATTTTTAAAAATAAGGGAACACCAGAACTTCCCTGGTGGTCCAGTGGTTCAGTCTCCACTGTAAAGGGTGCAGGTTTCATCCTTAGTCTTGGAACTAAGATCCCATATGTGGCGTGGCGTGGCCCAAAAAAAAAAGTGACCATTAAAATAATCAGGGAATACCTCCAACATGTGTTAAAATGCATAAAAAATAACAAATAACCCATGTGCTTACAGGCCAGATTTAATAAATAAAAACATTTAGCCGTATATATTTTAGAGCTTTTAATTTTTTTGATAGCTAAAGCATTAAAGAGTTTAATTCTCCTTTTTATTGATCTCTAATTCATTCTTCCTTCTTCCTTGAGGTCTCCACTGTTCTGAGATTGGTGTGAATACCTGTCTTTTTACTGTAGAAAAGTTAACTTCTTAATGAATTTTTACCTATGTTTTAATTGAATTTAAAGGAACAGTAACTCATAGTTTCCCTATCGTGAATCATTTTCAGTGTCTGAGGTGTCTGAAATATTTTTCTTCTTGTTGACTTCTCATTACTGGGCAACAGTATAATGTTTCACATTTGAGCTATTGCTAAGACTGTGTTTTGCTATTTTGGGGCCTCTGATCTGTCAGATGTGATATTAACTGTGTTATATATATTTTGTTGGTAACACTCCTGAAATATCTTTTGGAAAGTCATTTTATTCACCTTCCAAAACCAGGAAGTGAGAGAAAGGAGAAGAGGGAAAGAATGATTGTTTTTCCCTTCAGGCAAGTTATCAGTTGAGAAACTGATATTATGAACCACACAAACTGTACAGGAATATATACTGAATGTGTGTATTAGTAGGACAAGTATCTCAATGTAATAATCCACACATTTTTAATACATTGGTTAAAAATGGTCAGCAGCATGAAGAATTTAACATGATATTACAGTCTCCTTTTGGTTAGTTTAGACATGAGGACAGTGGTCAAGGAAAAAACCTAACAATGACTGTTTGTTTGTTTTTGTCAAAATATGCTACCCAGCTCCAGAGTTTCCTATTTTGGAAAAGCAGAACTGGTTGATACATCTCCATTATATCCGGAAGGATTTTGAAGCATGCAAGGTGAGAGGCTGAAGTGATAGAGAACATGAGAGGCAGGCTTTGATTAAGCATCTGTGTCTGTCACTCAGTTTGTATGGCAGGTAATAACCCATTATTTTAATAATGTGTGAAATCTTGTTTCTTCACATTTTGTGTATTAATTAGCTTTTGCTGTGATAATGCTGCTTAACAAACAACCTCAAAATGCCAGTGGCCTTATTTATTACTCATAGGCCTTCGATTGGCTATAGGTTGGTGGGTGAACCAGCCAGGTTCTGGTGAACCTGAACCACAGTCTGTGGATCAGGTTCCAGTGTGCGCTGTGTGTCTTATTTCAGGACCAGGCTGAAGGAGCTGCTGCTCTCTGGGACTTGTTGGTCTTATGGTGGAGAGCAGATGTTCAAAGCAGCATAGTGTTTTACTTTTTGATCTCTGGATAGGTGAAAAATGGTGTTTCACTTTTATTTCATAATTCTTGTGGTGAGCTTGATCCTTTGTATATTTTGAAACCGTTTGTATTTCCTTTTCTCTAAACTATCTTTGGTGATGGTATATATGTTACATGCTTGCTGGCAGAGAATAGTATCATCATGCAAAATATATCCTTGGTATTGTCTTTTTTTTTTTGGCATTCAGAGCTTTGTAATGCTTTTAAGGTTGTGATTTTTGTACCTGTCACATTTGTACCCACAGCAGTGCAAAGAACTAGCAGTGTTTAGTTCCAGTATGGATTTGGAAAGATTTTTTTTTTTCTTCTGTGACACTATCCTTATTTCTTCTTTCCTTTATTGACCACTTTTTCTGTTTCCTTTCTTTCGGCTTCTCTTCCTTTGCTTGTTTCTTAAGAATTGGGGCTGTCCCTGTGTACTGTCCTTGACTGTTTTCTCTGCTTATTCTGCACACTTCTTCCTGATTGCCAGATCAGTCTGATGCTTACTGAATACTTCACAGACATTTCAAATTCAACTTTTCTGTAGCCACATTTACCTGCTTCCTTCCATACCTATTGCTTCTCCTTCTTCCCTGTCTCTTGAGTCCTTACATATACTCCTTGTCCATGTCTTGTTGTTCAGTTGCCCAGTCATGTCTGACTCTTTGTGATCCTGTGGATTGCAACACACCAGGCTTCTCTGTCCATCTCCCAAAATTTGCTCAAGTTCATGTCCATTGTATCAGTGATGCCATCCAACCATCCCATCCTCTGACGCCCTCTTCTCCCTCCACCCTCAATCCTTCCCAGCATCAGGGACCTCTCCTGTGAGTTGGCTGTTCGCATCAGGCAACCAAAATACTGGAGTCTCAGCCTCAATCTGTCCTTCCAGTGAATATTCAGGGCTGATTTCCCTTAAGATTGACTGGTTTGCTCTCCTTGCTGTCCAAGGGACTCTCAGGAGTCCTCTCCAGCACCACAGCATGAAGGCCTAAACTCTTTGGCACTCTGCCTTCTGTATGGTCTACCTCTCATAACTGTATGTGACCACTGGGAAGACCACAGCCTAGACTAGTTGGGCCTTTTGTCAGCAGAGCAATGTCTCTGCTTTTCAACACACTGTCTAGGTTTGTCATAGCTTTCCTGCCAAGAAGCAAATGTCCTCTGATTTCATGGTTGCAGTCACCATCCACAGTGATCTTAGAGCCCTAGAAGAGGAAATCTGTCACTACTTCCACCTTTCCCCCCTGCATCTGCCAGGAAGTAAAGGGGCTGGATGCCATGATCTTATTTATAATATTTAGTTTTAAGCTGGCTCTTCCACCCTCCTCCTTCACCCTCATCAAGAGGCCTTCCAGTTCCCCCTCACACTCTGCCATCAGAGTGGTACCGTTTGCATATCTGAGGTTTTTGGTGTTTCTCCCACCTATCTTGATTCCAGCTTGTAATTTATCCAGCCTGGCATTTTTCATGATGTGCTCAGCATATAGATCAAACAGGGTACAGGTGTCCATGTCTTCCTTTACTTAAAAACACTTGAAGACACTTAACCACTACTCAGAAGTATTGTTTGTTTCTTTTTCAGGCTGTTATCAAAGAACAGCTTCAGGAGACTCAGGGGTTATGTGAATATGCTATCTATGTCCAAGGTGAGTCATATATTTCTTCTCTTCTTGCTAGAGAAGTGCACACTCTGCCTAGATTCTGGAAAAAGAACAACTTATGAAATACTTAAATTCAAGTAAATGTTCCACAAATCTCTTGTTTAGTATTACTGTTTTTTTTTTTAATCAAAACATAATTATTGTTCTGGATTTAGCCTCAGCAATGACTAGTTCTGTTAAAAAGCTTGCTACTGAACAAATAATTTCACAATTTGTATGGAAATACAAAACACCTCGAATAGCCAAAGTAATCCTGAGAAAGAAGAATGGAACTGGAGGAATCAATCTGCCTGACTTCAGACTCTACTACAAAGTCACAGTCATCAAGACAGTATGGTACTGGCACAAAGACAGAAATATAGATCAATGGAACAGAATAGAAAGCCCAGAGATAAATCCACGAACCTATGGTCAC